AATTTGAGCTACGCAGATGATATGCGTAATTGAGCCCTCTATTAAAGGTTTGCGCAAAATGTTACATATTTGTGAGTTATACGCTGAAGAGCATGACATTACCTACAACTCAACCAAGTCTAAATCTATGCATTTCTATGGTTGTAATTGCATAGACATTTGCCCTCCACTGTATTTATATAATAATAATGTTGACCAGTTTAATTATCTAGGACATAAAATAGCTCGTGACCTGAAAGACGATGCGGACATTGATTGTCAGAAACGTTTATTCTGTGTGAGGGCAAACATTATGCTACGTAAATTTAATTACTGCAGCAACGAAGTCAAACTTTTGCTATTTAAAACATTCTGTTCTAGTTTGTATTGCTGCCAATTATGGTGTATGTATAGAAAATCTACCGTTAATGCCCTTCGGGTCAGTTATAATAATGCTTTCCGTAAACTGTTGGGGTACGTCCGTGACTGTAGCGCAAGCACTATGTTCGTTGAAAACCGCACAAACACATTTACCAGTTTATATAGAAAGCTAATTTATGCTTTTATGGATCGATTACGAACATCAAACAATACACTTGTGTGTGCCTTGCTCAATAATGATGTGAGATGGAAGTCTACCTTAGTGCAGCATTGGACAAAGGTCAAATCTGTATGGTTTGTAATTTTATTTTATTACATATTTGTTTGTATCTTTTTCTTTATATATGGACTATGTCTGAAATAAAACCATAATAATAATTCCAGAAACAAGTGGTATCAATGACCACTACTGACGAGGTAAGAACGTCACAGGCATGAATCATCAAGTCCATGTGGTTGAACATTCACCTATTTAAATTCCACCACAGCCATAAATCGGTGCATCAACTATAACCATTGAACTGACTCACTGAAAACAGTGTGTGCCGTGATCCAAGCAAAATCGACCCGAATGAGCACATTAAATCTCAGACTATTAGTGAGACATGGTCCGAGTACTAATGAAAGTAAAGAGCTTATGATGTATCTAATATATTCGCTATATGCTAGTATCAGGACCCATTTTTATTTTAATAAAATGACAAGAAGCCATCGCCGAAATTTGGTTTATTGCTTCGTTTTACCCACATGCATAATTTGCTGTGTATTGTGTGAAATCATTCCGTCAGACGATCGCAATGACCACCGCTGTTTAACGAGGATTTCAGTGTTGTAGTTTTATTGGTGATTCGTGTACGCATTGCCATATTGGCAATGTTACATAATAGTTAGTCTGTAATTTTACATGTTACAAATTGCCCTCATTAGTCATTGTTTGTCACAAATGATTTTAAAGGTGCATTATAGATTACTGCATGAGATTATTTGAATAATTTTATTTACCAGGGAACAATCAAAAATCAAGTCACATACAATATCATCTTCAGCATTAGATATTTTATGTTATTTCATTGAGGGTATAGTGTTGGGGCTCCAAAATGGTCGCCAAAATCCAGTTGAAATATGAAAAAGTCATGTCAAATATGTGTGATTATTATTGATATTGTGGGGGAGAGCGCCCTCAATGGTATAAACTATGCTGGCAACAGATAATCCAAACCATTGTGACAATTAGGCTAATGATTTTTAAAAAGCACTTGTATCAATTGATGAATATGTAAAAAAAAAACAATGCATAACACGTTTTGTTTTACTTGCCAGTTAGGCATGTAATTTGCTTGTTACATTTTAAATATTTCCTTGTTCAAAAAACAATAAGCATGCATAAATCATGCATCGATGCATAGCTTAGTGTGTACATGTATGTTTGTATAAAAATATGTTACTATTATTTTAAATATGTACGCTCATGTTTACTTGCAGTTATGTGTGCAACATGTGGAAATACTTGTGTTGAAAATTGTGATTACTGTATTGCGTTTAATAATATATTAATAAATTACTATCAAACTTGCATTGCCAAATTCTACTTCTTGTAATTCTATGTAATTATAGGATAATTTCCTTGCGTTAGACAGATTGTATTTACATACAAGGTGGCCATAGAGGAATTGGTATTGGAGAAACAATTCATTTTCTGTAATGTATTTGTTCTTTATTTAGTAAACCTAGTGTTTAATATTTTATTGTAATTCACAGCTTTATGGGATTTGTAAATTCACTTTGGTAAGGTTTGTAATTTTATTTTTGATGCACGTTCGCTGACCGGGTTAGCCGAGTTGCCTTGATCCTCAGTCTGATCCTTGGTAGCACACTGGGTGCATGTGATCTTGGTTAGTGTCAGTCTCTTCTCGGTGGGTGAACAAAAATTAAACTGTAATTATGCACGAAGACGTTTAATTCGGACAATAGAAAAAAATAGCGGCAGTGAGCTCTCAAAATTGTTGCTAATAGCTTTATATTATTAGTATTACCAATTTTACAGTGAAAATCCCCTGTACTTTATTGAAAAAGAAATACAAGCACACGTTCCAGTTGATATTCGGGTGGATGCAATTAAAATTTGGCAGTATGTACGATGGCCGATTCGATACCTTGACGTGGGTCACATATTGTATTGCTCATATCGTATAAGTGGTAGCACCTAATGTTGCATCTTCGAAAATCCATTGCTTTTTTACGGCATCTGGGTTAGTCTGTATATGAAACACGATGCCAGCAAGAATGCATAGTTGATTTGAAACGAAATTTTTGACTAAGGCAAATAGACAAATATATATATATATATGTACGGGTCAAAATGTAGATGGCCGGATGACAGATGCTCCTGCTTTGTTAATTAATCGACTGAAAGCGTAGTTTTCCGCACAATTTCCGAATGGCCAAAGTGCTGGACGATGATCCGTGGGAGAAGGATGATACTTTACTGTCGGATAAATTTGTTGACACTGCGTACATGGAGGTACAAGTGACACGCAAGGAAATTTTAGATGTTGCAGTCGTGTTTTGCCCCACGCTCGTTTCAACTGATAGGCTGTGGAAAAGACTTTCCCACTTGAAACAACTTGAAGTTTTACTTTAATAGACTCTTCAGCCGCCATTGCCACTTGTATTGCCTCTTTAATGCACTTATGAAATATTCCGCGCGCCATCATCCCATTGATGTATGGCTTTTTTAGACTCTTGCAGGGAACACTGCCACCCCATGAAACAATTTTAGGAACGTCTATCTTTGCTTGGCAAATGGTGGTTGATTCGAGGATATTGTTCCTGTCACGCTGTCCTGGTTCGCACGGCTTAAGTTTCTCGTGATAGTATAGTAGTCTTGACAGAACAATCTCATCACAGTCAGAAAAACCATGTAGCAAATCGATCTGAAAGTATATCAACATGTCATGAATAGTTCGTTCTGTACAACGTACAAGTGCATATGTTATCCCATTATTATTATTTATTAATTCAAACGTAGACATTTATTATTTAACACGCTCGCATAAATTTGTCGCAGCCGCTTTTATGGACTACGATGAAACACTCTTCCACATAACAACCTAATAAAACAGTGTCAATTGTCGAGCGGCCAAAATCCCGAAAAGGCTTATAATTTAAAGTTGTTGTTAAATCCCCTGTGAGAAACGTATTCGTAGATCGTATTCTGAACATTTGATTGACCCGTACATTATTTATTTGTGCTTATCAGATACATTTATTTATTTATTATTTTAAGTAATTATTTCCTGTGTATGGGTATATCAGAGATGGTGAGCTAAGGCCACACCGACTTAATTGTATGGATGACATCCACGCGCGCATTAGTTTTCGCCTTTTCTCTCTCAAAAAAAAAAAAAATCTCCAACGACGAGTCTCTACAGATCGGTTTTCTGTCCGGAACTTGCCGACTCATATTGTCGCAAAGCGCCGGCTTGTCGTAAAACTTATTTTGGACTATCTAAAAACGTGCCAATTTTGTCGTAAATGATCTTCTGCACATGCGTATTGCGTTGCCAGGAATACGTGAGCATAACAGTTCAGAGGAAAAACTGAGGGATTGTTGTAGACTGGTACGCAATTGACGTCGGCCAGGGAGATATGACGTTTACACAGCTATACGAGAGATTGGTTAAAGCTAACCCCTACTGTGTAGAGAGGAGCAAGCAAGGACATTTCTGTATCATTGCAATGTTTTGTTAGTTATTGTCATAAAGTAGTGATATGTACATTCCGCCTTGACTTGTACTGAACATGATGTCCATGTTGTACCTTGCATGCAGTGTTTTTGACTGAAGGTATTACAGTAGAACGTCGATTATCCGAACTGTTAGGGGGACATGCTTTTTGTTCGGTTATGCAAACAGTTCGGATATGCGATCTTGTGTGGGCGTGCTCAAGTTTACAGGCTCACTACACACAAATTCTAACGCACATGACTGTAATGAAATCAAACAATAATACATGTAGAGTACGTCATTAAAAACATTTTTATTTAATCAGTAATATATTGTAATAAAAATGTTGCATGCTGGAATGTTAAAAAGTGTTTCAAAATGTCCGTAAAATGTAGCGATAATAAAGTTCTTGGGAAAACCAAGTCCCGGAACCAAGTGAAGACGGATTTCTCTGAATGATCGTCATAGGCTGTTTTCGTTATCTTTCGTTTCAGTCCTGC